AAAGATTCAAATCTTATAGATTAATTTAGGTCATAAAACGAATGGGATGGGCGAAATCTAAATGTTAAAGTCAACCGCAACGAGCAAAGGAAGTCTAGCTTGTGGTACAAATATAAATATTAGGATCATATTATAATAAAATTTGATATTTTTCATATATATTTAATACATGTATGTAAAAACATCTTGAATCTAAAAAATCAACTTTTAATCTCGAAGAAAATCTAATTTCACTTTTAATTAAGATTCTAAAATTAGATGATTTTTCTGAACTTATTCGATTTGATTTATTGGTAGACAATACGCAAATATTTAAAAAACTTAACGGAAATAAATTTTACCGGAACTAGAAAAGTAAGGGGAAGTGAAAATATGGTAAATTCTTAAACGTCAAATTTTACAAAATCTGAGTTGTCTGAGTTTTTACTTTCAGTCAAAGTTTAAATTCTTAAACATTTAAAAAAAGTCAAGCGTCAAAATTGTAGATTTTTTTTTACATGCAGACAGTCTGACGTAGTAATTCAGTAAATAAATTTGATGTATTGAGTGACTATCATTACGTTAAAAATCATATAAAAAATATTTTTTTTGTTAAGTTTTAATATGTAAGTATAAAATTATTTTAAATCTAAAAAAAATTTTTTTTTTGTTTTGAGGTTTACGGATGATCAAAATTCACAGTCAATTACGGGTAAAAAGTTTATTACATTTCTGCCCGTAAAAGTTTTATACGTCAGACAGTTTGCAGACTGAAAACAAAATTTTGACGTTAAAGAATTTGCGGATACATTCTGCAAAATCTGACCTTTAAATGTAAATTTGACACATTTTCAGAAAAATCAAATTTACTATAATAATAATATGAATTCTCATTGTGCCACCCTAAAATGAAATAATGATACATTATACATTATGATTGAATTTTTTTTAAACACTTCAATTTAAAAAAAACATAATAGATTTACTTACAATATTACAAGAACAATTTTAAATTGTACGATGCAAAGCAATTTATATAAAAGATCATGAAAAGTGAACGAGATCTATTTCTAAATACTTGCACACAGTTTAGCTTTTTTCGATATTGGTATAAGTTCAATTTAAATGGCAACGCGAGCAATAATTTCTTAACCATCATTTATATTTAAGGAAAATTTTCAACTAAATAAATGAAGAAAAAACGAAATTTATATTCAAGAATTAAAGTTTTATTGATTTAAATTTTAACCTATAAAGTTGAGTTTTGACTGGATACTTTGCTCGAATTTAATATAATCTTGATCTTTTGTCTCTGAAGATTCTCATAAAATCATAATGGAACGATGCAAAGAAATCTAAAGCGTTAAAAAAAAGAAAAATAAATTTTAAAAGCACGTTTTTTCATTTTTAGTTTAACATAGCATTAAACTTTCTTTTTTTTCACAATTCATAATTCACCCTTGCATTTATTAGAATTGCACTTAAAAATTCACGAGAAACTTATTTCAATAGCTAGTCAAAAATCAAGAAAATTTAAAGTATCTTTATTCTTTGCATAATATGTATGAGTTTGACTCTTATTTGAATTTGTACTGACATTTTAAATATTAAAAGCATATTTTAAGAGAATTGAATATAAGTTTGTCATTGAAATCATAAACAGTGAGAAACGATGATTTATGCAAAAAATATTTTGATTTGGTCTTCCCTTCGATTAAGTTTTAAATAGAGCAATCAAATAAACACTTGTAATGCAGCTAATTAAATTTTTATTAGGTTTATTCCTTCTTAAACCATAAATTATTGTTGTGTAATTTCTGTAAACAAATCTTTTTTGCTTGATTTATAGAAAAATGTTAGCTGCCATCATGTGAACAACCATTTCATCTTCAAATAGCTGCTCATATTATTGCAAGATTAAAACAACCATAAATTGTAACAAAATATTAGATTAAGTTAAACAAATAGTACCAAAAAGCTGATATTGTAAAGACACAGTTGTAAATGTCGACAGTTGTGTATAGTTTTGGAATATTTAATATTTTGTCTCTGAAGGATTTTTGCATCGTGTGAAAATCGTTTTAAATATAGTTTAAAAGTATATTTTATTTTATACTGTTAAACTATATCAATAAATAAAAGTTAATAAGCCCTATCAATAATTCCACTCACAGAAGCCTACGTAGACTTTTGAGTTGAATATTTAGAATTAAATTGTTATGATTACTCTATTAAGAATTATTCGGAATTAAAAATAATCGGAATATAGATTACTCTATTAAGAATATACAGAACTTTAGTTATTCGGAATCGATAATATGAAATTCGTAATTTTCATAATTTTAGAGCTACGAACGAAATTCATGATAGGGCTGAATATATCAATATGTGTTTAATTAATATTTTATTAAAAATCGTTTATTAACGTACATATGATATTTAGTACAATCAGAAAATTTTCCATATTTTACGCAATGCAATCAGTATGTCTTCAGATGGGGTAAATTTGACTTGAGTAGAGGTTGAGCAGTTGTTGATGGATTGTTCATGTGGAAGAATCAATTATATTTCTGTTGCACTTGTTTTCGTCTAATTCTAATGTCATAACAAGATAATTTTGGTTTTATTTTTAATAATGAATACATAATGTTATTTCTGATGATGTGGAAAGAATGGTGAATATTTCCGTTCATATTTCCATTAAAAATTTATTTCAATAATGAATTCATATATAAATTTTTCTTATTGTGGGAGTGTTATTATTATAAGAAAATAAAAATGCAATATCGTTTTTTTCAATTTTAAATAAATTTTATATGTATTTTATATAATTTATATAATTATATATAATATGTATTTTAATGCCAATTTTAATAAAATCTAATTACAAATATATAATAAACTAAATATTTATGTTGCTTTTCATTTCAATCTTCATGTTTTTTTTTATCTTTTCTAAAATATCATAATATTTTAAAATAAAATAATTCTAACAAACAAAAAAATAATAATATAAGAAACCCACAAATTACATGTGGAATATCTATTCAAAAATTAATGCTGCAGCGTCTAATTTTTGTGAAATTTTTATTTATACATTATGAATATGGTATACATTGTATCTTGTATATGCACAAACATACATACTATATAATATGAACATAAATATGTATATTATATATATTTATTATGTATAAAAAAATAATATAATTAAAACTTTTCAACTAAATTATTCATAATTAAGAAAAATACCTTTTTACAACATAGATACGAATTAAAAGTTATAATTAAAATTACTAACATAAAAATATTTAATTAAAAATAAAATTTATGACTATAAGGAGGGGATAAAAGTAATTTTTTTTGTATTCTGTATTTCTTTCCAAAATATCATTTATCTATTTAAATAACTAAAAACGAACTTAAACTTATTTATTTTTTTTGTATTTACAATAAGCTTATATAAATAATTAAGAAAAAATTAGCAATATGTTTAATTAAACTATTATTAGTTATCATATTATATGTACATATATGTGTATAAATAAAAGAAACTATTACTTATTGATTAATAATTCGAGTCTATGAACATTTTTACTGTTTCACATAAATTTTCATAGTTAAGTTTGAAATAAATCAAAATTTCTTCATTTAATCAACAATTTAGTATTATAAAAGAAAGTAATCGGTTTAGCTATTACTGATTTAGTTAATTTTATTTTTAGGTAAAATTTTTTAAAAATTAAAGGAAAATTTTACTATAAATTTCTTTTTTTAATAAATGTTTTAAAAAATTTTAAATTTTATGTGACATAAAATTAATTTGTTTCTGAAATAAGCGGTGTATTTATTGTCATTTACATTTTGTCATATAAATTTGAACAGGAAATTACAGCAGGACCACCATACTCAAATTTAAATAAGTTAAATTTTCTCAGAAATGTAAATCGAAATTGAAACATATTTATTTAATTTAAACATTTGTTATATTTAGTTTTTTTTTATTTTTCTCTACTTCACCGTAATACTGGCACTTTTTTTTATTTTGGGAATTCCACTGTAATTATAAAGAGTATATTTCTATAACATTGTACATTTCTATAAGAGTATCTAGGTAAAAATATGCTGAATTGCGATTTGCTATTGCTATTATGAAAAGATTTCATTAAAATGTAGTTAAAAGCACTTCATCTTTCATTGAAATATACAAAAATAAGAGAGGAAATATAAAATTAAAGATTTGTACCTATATCATTCAACTATCATGATAATTATTAACTCAACATAACTTTAAGATTTCTAAGAATTTAATCTTTTAAAAAAAATTTCAAATGAATTGTGTAAGGCGCCATCTACATTTTTATTATTAATTTTCTTTAATGTTTATTTATTTTTCTTTATTCTAAAATTAAATTTTATTGTACAATTATTTTTGTATAATACTTTCTAATTATAAATATATACTTTTTAATTTAATATAATATTTTTGTAATATATAAATATTTTTTAAATATTTTTTGGGATTCTTTCTCTAATGCCATATGTGTTATATTAACATAGTTTTTAGATTTATATTTTTTAAATTACTTGCATAATAAAGGTTTGATTTAAAAAAAATAATAGTTATGTATTTATATATTACTTACATGCGCTTTCTTTGAAAACAAAAGCGGAACAAAGAGCTATTTGCATTTTTGAAAATGGCAAACTTCTCTAAATTTTTTTGCTGTTAATTAAATTTAATATTGTGGTGCCATTTAATCAAATAGAATTATTAAAATATTTGCTTTGTATTCTTTAAAATTGAAATAGGAAAAGATGGAAATTTTTATTGAATTGACATTAGTCCTCATATTGACTAAAATTTGAAAGGTATGCTTTTTTATTTAATTTTGATAATACTAAAGATAACTAGAATTTTTTCTAATTTTTATTAGAGCAATTTTTTCTTGAATAATCGATTCAATTTTTGAAAAATTTGGTTGAATATCAACAGTACACACAAAATGTGTAATATAATTTAAAAAAAATCAATAATTTAAATATATTATAATAATATTAAAACAATAATAATGAGTTTATTTTACAACAATTACAAATATTATTTAACAATTTTTGCTTTTTCATTTCTATTTCAAACTTTTGTTGTCAAATCTAAAGGTGTAGTTAATTGTAATTTCATACGTTTCATACTATGGTGTTCATATTCATTTGTTTCATCATCACTACAATTTAATTCTAAACTATTAGAGCGATTATTATTGATGTTGATATTATTATTATTGTTATTTAAAATATGTGCACTATTTCTTTTATGAATTTGTGTTGTTATTGTTGTATTCGTTGTTGTTTCATCATCTTCATTATCACTATTTAATCCAGCACCATTATCACTTTCTCCATCACCTGATAAATGACGATTAATCTCATCAATTGATGATGTACTTGATTTACTACTATTACTGCGACTACTACTACTATGACGACTACTGACACTACTACCAGCTTTCATACTCAAGTCAATTGGGTTATCTTGGTTAGTGGTTGTCGTTGACGTTGTTGTTGTTGATGTTGCTATCGTCGTTGTCACAGTTGTTGTGTTTATTATATTAGAACCAATTAATTTCTTTTCATTTAAATTTATATTATTATCATTATTATTATTTTTATAATTCTTATCATTTTCAATTTCATCATTACTGTTACTTATATGTATAATGTTATTATTGTTATTATTACAATTATTACCATCATCTTCATCATCGTCATCATCACCATTACCTCCAACATTGAGAATGGGAGATCTTGGTGGTGTCATTGATACAACTAAATCTTCATCACAATTGCTATCAGCATCATCGGCTCGACCGATTGTTAACTCATCTCCACAATCACTTTTAATACCACCATTATCAGAGTTTGGTGTAATAATAGCAGAATTCGTAATAGGGGTAATTGTTGCTGCACTAGATGTTGTTGTCGTCGATGCTGACGTATTTGAATTAGGTGTTACTGATGGTATCGTAATTCCATGATTATTTAATAACAATGGAGAATGACGTTGTGATTTTAATACTGCATCCAAATAAAAACGTTTTGTTAATTCTTCTGCAGCTTTTGTTCCATTAGGTACATGATTAATGCTATTATTGTTATTATTATTACTACCTATGCTATTGTTATTGTTACTATTATGTAAATTTTGATTAATAATAGGACTATTAGCACCTCGATCACTATCTTTATCGCTATTATGTGTCGGCGTATAACGACTGGTATTGTTATGATTTAATACAGAATTACTGTTATGACTATTATTTTGCTGTTGCTGTTGATGATTGGCAGCTGCAGCATGTGCCGCTGCAACAGCTGCTGCAGCCAAACCCGGACTTTGCATTAAATGTTGTTGATGTAAATCATTCGCATTTCCTACTGGTTTCAACAAACCTTGATGATGTTGGTATAAAGCTGGATGATAACCAGGAAATAGTAAATGTGACGGTGGCAGAAATGCTGGTGGGGGCATAACAGGTAATGAACCTAACCCAGGAAAGGGTAACGGTAAAAATAAATCTTTATGTGGATGACCAGAAGCTGCTGCAGCGGCCGCTGCTGCTGCTGCAGCATCACGATTTCTTAATAATGAATTACTACGTATATTAATATCAATTGAACTATCTGAATTATGACTATCTGGCGAACTGACCGAAGGCGATGCGACTGGATGTTTACCTGCTGAATATTCTTCAATACCAAGCATCATCAAATCTTCTTTTGTACGTGGTGGACCATATAAACCTTGAGAATATGCTGGATGTCCTAGCATTGAAAATGCTGTTGCTGAACTTGGAGGGGGAGGAGATTTTTGATTTGGACCTAAATGATCTGATCCACCCTGTCCGCGATGTGCTGCTGCCGCAGCCGCTGCGGCTGCAGCTTGCTGTTGTTGCTCTTGTAATAAACAATGTATTTTAAACCAATTTGAACGTCGACCATATCTTGAACCACTTTTTGACATTCCAACCATTAAGCATTTTCTTAGGCGACATGCTTTACATGCTGTACGGTTTTTCTTGTTGATGATGCATTCGCCATTATTTTTGCATTCAGATATTGATGATAAATTATTATAGGAGCGTCCAAAGAATGACTGTAAATAAAAAAAATTACAAATTAATTAAATGAAAAAAATTATATATTGTTATAAAAAAATTATGAAGAAGGCCTAATTTCAATTTTAATTTAAATATTATTGAGGTATGAGACAGGTGTGGCAAACTATATTTCTCTCTTCTTGTTATTGTTGAGGGTTTAACTTTTAATTAGATATAAAGTAATAATAAAAGTGATTGTATGGAAACAATTTTTTTTTATTTTTACATTTTAACAATATCAAATCAGAGCCTACGTGCTGTAATTTCAACATATCTGAAGTAGATCACGGTAGGGGAGTTTAAAATAAAATGTAAATGATATTTAAGGTAACTTAAAAAAAAAGAATGGAAAATTAAAATTAGGCTTGTGCCATTTAAAAAAAAAAATTGTCTATTCATTAATATTATTTTTCCAGAAACGATTTTAAAGTTCGTATTTATTTGTTCGTTTGCCGATAAGAGTATATGTAGACAAGTTTTCACTAAAATTTCAATTTTACAGTAAATTTGTTTTTCTTTTCATTGATATGGGTTGGTCACGCTAATTTTATGGATGGTAATTTCATGTCTTCAGTAAATTGTAGTGTAATAAAATTTCTTTCGGAACAATTTTCTTCATCATCCTTTATAATTATTTTATTTTCAAAAATTCGAACATTTAAATTCGAAAATTTGTATCAAATGTTAACCATAAAGAAAAAGATATTATTTTAGGAAAATTTAAAAGGTGTAGTGTTGTCGATTATCTTGTTTGTTAAACATTGTTTAAGTACAATGGTGTTTAAAGATAAAATCGTTAGTGTAGAATTAAGGTTCTGAACTATAAGTAAATATTCTTTATAAATTATAATGCAACACATTAATTCTACAAGTAACTACTATTCAAGCCTTAGCATATTATGTAACGGACCTATCAGTATAAGGACTTAGGATATAACATACATAAATTTAATAATATAATATAGTTAAAAACCTACTTTTGGAGGTTATCTAAAGAATAATTATGATGAGCTAAATAATAGTGAAATATCTAGTTGTAATCGAATAAAGAATGTCATTAAAAGTAAATAAACTATTTTTCAACTATAAACGGTAGTTCTTTTATTTGAACAATTGACTTAAATTTTAGAGAATTGAAATTTTTGTATTTCATGTTCAAATCTAATTATCATGTCAAGAAAATTTAAAAGGGTGTGAAAGGTGACTAAATTTTTTTTTTTTAATTTCTTTTCTTTTTATAATCTTTTTCATTCTTCTTCTATTTTTATGAAGAAAATTTCCACGTAATCTGAGGAAAAAAAAGAAAAAATGTTTACGCAACTTTTTTACTATTTTTTTTAATTTGCCTAACAATTTCATTGTGTGATTCAATTGTGTAAATGTTATGCAAAGAACAGTTATCTTCTAATTTAGTTTTTCTATTGTAGATCAGTTTTTTTTTCTGTTTTCGTTTTATTTTTGTTAGTTTAATTTTGCTTTGACATTTGAATTGGCAGCGAAGAAAGGAAATTTTTTTGTTTTTTTTTTTAATCGAAATTGAAAGTAATTGAATTGAATAATTTTATTTATATACCGGGTAGAAAGTTACATTTTTAAATCTAAAAATGTTATAAAAATAATTTGCTAGGTCGCTGTAAGCTAAAAAAAAAGTTGGTGCAACTAATTTTAGCTCCAAATAAAACAAAAAAAAAATTTTTTGGTATAAAGCAAAAGAAATAGAAAAAATAATTATAATTAGACCTATTAGTGACATTGATGAACCCAATTAATAGTTGTTATAATAATAGTAGCAACTTGGAATTTTAGCTTTTGGTTTATTTTTGAATTTCAATTGAAACACGCTATTTTCTTTCCCCACATATAATTATTATTTAAATGAAGAAGAGCATTTTTGATTTAATTTTTTTAAAGTAAATTGTTAATTTGACGAAAAAAAAAAATGGTTAAAAATTTTGAATAAAATTATTTTTATGCACGCAATTTATAAAATTTTAAAAGAAAGACATAAAAATTGAAATATTTAATACAGAAACCCAAAAATTTTTAATTTAAAATATGAAAATTAATTTAAGTTAATTAGGGTTTTCCACATATAACGCATTTAATAAATTTGTAACAATAGGTATCTATATATTTTATATGAAATTAAGTTTAAATATTAGATTGGGCTAATGTTGTTTGTTATGAGAAATTCATTGAAAAAATAAACATTTATGTAAATTTTTCTGAAAATTTACAGTTTAATTTGGATAAATTATGGTAATTAAATTAACCAAAATAACATTCTTCCAAAATTTTTAAATATGTATGTCATTTTAATTGACAGTCAGGTGGTTTTTCATTACTGCTAAAAGAGAAATTTCAGTCTTGTTTTCATTTTGCGTAAAAAAGATAAGAACGATGTATCATTTTTAAGAAAAGGCTTCGAAAAATTTTAAATAGTATATATTAAAAATTCATTATTACTATAACAGGTATACCAAGGATGCTACATACCCTTATTAGTACAAATTTCATAAATGTGGAGGCAAGAGGGCAAAATAATGCAAACTTTTCTAAACTAGGTTACAATATTAACTTTTCTGTATTACAGTTTACATATGTATTTCCATCATGTTTAAAAATCATAACAATTATATAAATAATAAATTGGCAAATTAGCAAATCAACAAAATAACTGTTTTCAAATGAACCGTTTAATTTTATTTTTCTTTCATACCAAATATTAACAAGATTTGGTTATTGTTTTTATAAATTAATTTTCTTTATGCGTAGTTCATGTACTAAGACCTCAAAGTTTTATCAAGATTAATTTTGAAGTGAATTCAAATGACGTAACAATTTAAAGGTACTGTGTTTTTGATAACTCAGTCCTAACTTATTACTAAATGTGTGGTATGTTTGAAAATTGTGCGCGTGCTATCAAAAAAGTGTACTATTTCATAATGTAGTACTATTTTTGCAGTTTGTTTTATAATAACAATTATTGCATGTTAAGATTTTTAAAATATTCGCGTAACAACTCAGTTTTGATTTTACTGTAGCGGAAACTACTTTGGAATTAATAAAAAAGAAATGTCGGATTAACGGGGTTCAATTATTTACAACTAAAAAAAAATTTTCAAGATTGTAGTTTTTGCAGTTTTGTCTTTCTATTTTCCAACTTATTTAAGTTCTAAGTTAGAAAGGCGAAAGCATATTGCATTATCAAAACACTTGTACTTGAAATAACATAAGTTAAAGCCTCATATAATAATTTTGTCTGACTGTGTACATATAATATGTATATTTACAAAAATATATTACATTAAATGTTCATGTTTTATACATATATTATTATTTACCATAATTATTACTATTTTCATGATCATAACATTATAATGATTATTAACATAATATTATTTTAAATTTAAAATATCTTATGCAATATGTACGCTAATTTAAATGTGTATAAACGAGACTATAGTATAAAAATAATGACGACATTAAATAACAGTAGCACAGTAGTAATTTGTTTGTATTTAAAAAATTATACTTCAAGACAGTGGAATTGTTTTTTTGCAAGAGTATTCTTCTAAAATATTATATATATTCGATTTACAGTTGTAGTTAATTACAGCTTAAGCTCTATTTTAAAATAAGCCTAAAATAACAAAATATGCAGTCCGCGTTTCAGTACAATTTATTGCAATATCTGCAAGGCAAAAGTTGCTTTAAAATTAAATATCTCAAACTTTGAATCGAAAGAAAATAGTTGTTAGTGTTAGTAATCTGCAATGTGGTATTAAAAAACATTTTCTTTTCAAGGATAGTCAAATTTTGTATGTAAAGGAAAATTTTCTTCATCTATGTAAATCCGATGTTACTAACAAATTTTGTGTTAATGTTATTTTACTTTTTTTGTTTTTTTTTAATCATTTTAATAACCCAATTAATCAATGAATTGTTTAAAAGCCAGAAAATTTGCAATGCAAAAAAAAAAAAACAAAAATTATTAAGATTTAGTTCTGAACTTCTTAAAATCTAAAATCAAATCAACCAACGAAAAAATCAAAATCGAAAAATACGATAGAAAAAAAAAACTAGAAGAAAAAACAAAAATTTTGCTTATTTGTACAGAAAAATGTCATCAATAGAGCGTGAAACCACCATATACTCTATTCATTGTATAATTTGTTTACTCTATAAATTCTTTCAACCTTTAAAGGTCTTCAAATGAAAACACAAATAAGTTAGAGTTAAAGTCTAAAAACATAAATTTATTGTTACAATTTTAACTTTTGTTGGTTGCTCATTTTTCAAAATGATATTTGAATATTCATTTAAATTGACTATATACATACATATATAATGTTGATATTAATATATACATATTTACATATTTTGCATAATAAGGTTTAAATACTTAGTTAAAAAATATTATTGATGAAACAATGCTGCCTTGAATTTTACATAGTTTTGTTTTTTTTTTTTTTTTAATTCAGTAGATTAAATTCAATTTCAGAAGGAATAGGGGTCTGTTTTGGTCTCTAATATTATTAAATTTTGTATTTGTTGTATGGTTATTCTTAAAAATTGATGCAGCATTATTTTTTTTATTTCATTTTCTTTTAAAATAATAATAAACGGTGCAACAATGATTTTTATTGTTTGGTTGTCTTGCGATTTAGTTAAGGTTAATTGAGCATCGAGATAACTGGGTCGGAAATGGGATGATACCCATTGCATTGATTTTTGTTACATGTTGTCGTAAAAATGCTTAAAATGTATATAAGAATTGAAAACAGTAAATAAGATTTGAAAACAAATAAATGCTATTATGTAACTTGGAACATAAAATTATTAAGATTAAATGTTTTATTTAAATTTCGCTATACTTATTGATTAATAAAAACAAAATTGAATCTTTTGTTTTTAGTTTATTACTAAATTTGTTAGCCATTAATTACTACTACTATTGTCATGAAAAATTTGTGTAATAGTGAAAAAAGTTTAAAGTTTAAATAAGCATTCATTATAATTGGAAACAAAATATTTGGAATTATTTAAAAGTGACTAGTTTAATAATATTACTTACAATAAAATTAAGGCGCTCAGCATATTAGTGGCCTATTCAATACTTTTGCAAAAATTAGTTATTATTCTGATTTAAAGAATTGTTCTTTATTTTCAAAATACTTATTTTACTTACATTATTTTGACATAAGTTCCTTTTTGCCTTTTAGAAATTTTCCTAAAAATTGGATATTTAAATATTTGCAAGTAGATCCCTAATTTTCTGAGCACCTCAGTTGTAAATCCTTAAATATAAAGAATTGTGTTTGAACTTTGAACCGAAAAAATCTTAAAAATCAGTATAGGTATAAAAACCAAGAAAGTCTGGAATTTTATGTACTTTTATACTATATAACAGGCTTTTAAAAAAGCTCTTTCTAATGCAGTTGTTATTTCTTTCATTTGTGTTATATGCGACTTATAACTGGAATGAATGTTATTTCTTACATTCATAATTTTATCAGTGTAATTTTATTATTTTCTACACCCGCCCCTTACAGCTTTTCTTAACACCTTTAATAAATTTAATTTATTTTTTATAAAAATTTCAATTTTATTCAAATCGTAAATAAAGCTTCAAAGAATTCATACTTAGCATTTCAAATTAACGTTTTAATTATTGTTTTTCTATAACACAAAATTTAATAAATTTAAAGAATAAAAGTATTAGAATTTTTGACTTCACCACAATTATCAGTTATTATACTAGATTTTCTCACAATTGAATAATGACCTAATTTTATGTAATTTTTTCTCTGAGATTAAAATATTACCATCACTTTAGCAATTTAAACACTATAATAAATAAAGGTACCTACAGGAAAAAAGTGCAGAAAAAATGTACAGTGAAATGAATAGTTTTCGGAGAGGTGACAAGAGAGAAGAATTGCATCAATATATTTTTTTTCCATTGCCATTAACATAATTCACTAGTTGCTAGTACTAGAATAGATTGCACCAATACAAAATTTATTTGTTCAATCTATGCAATTGTAGAGTTTGTCTTTAATAAGAGCATGATGTTTTATTTTGTTGTTTTTTATCTTGCTTTCAATTAGAAATATTAGGAAAAAAAAACAAAAATCAGAAATGCTAACAGCATATAATATTGTAGACAGCATTTTATCAATTTTTTTCTGCATTATTTTTTATTTGATGATGATTGTTATTGGTCTTCATTCAATATAATTTGTTCCGTTCTTATTTTAACACAAAATATCAAAAACTCATTGATTAAAAATTTTTTTTTGGTTTCTTAAAAGTTAGTATGATGCAAACCACCTCCATAGCATTTGATTTATTTGTTTGAAAAAAAGTTTCGTTTTTTTTTTCTTTTGGCTTACAAGGATTTTCTTCAAATTAAATTTGATATTTACAGTCTGGTACTTTAGTACACAATAAATAATTTTCGTAGGGCGTTTCCTTAAGGTCCGACTTTATGGTTAATATAATTTAATTTTTTTTTCCTTCAAATTTTTATTGAGTGTTATTGTGATTATGAAAACTATAGTATGATTTTTTTCTTTTTGCTGAATTATGATTTATTTTAAGATGTTTGAGATTATTGTTAAAAAAGGAATACACAGCAGAAAAATGAGTGAGAAATTTATGTCATCACATTCCTTAGAGCAGATTTCATTATAAAATCGGAAATTGAAAAAAAAAAAAATCAATTTTTAGTTTTTTTTCGATGAAATTTTGAAATAAAGAATAAAAGAATATTTTAAAATGAATCTTAGAGGGCGTTGAATCCAATCGTGAAAAATCTTATGAAATCAATTTTTACTTATATTTGCATAAACTTATTAATTATTTCGTCAATTAATTATAAATTTATTCGAAACATTCATTTTTTTCAATAAATTTTTATTTGTTTTTTTAGAGAAGTTGAAAATTTTATTATACGATCACACGAAGAGTCATATTGCAGACGAGTGGAAATAACTCCTGTTTTAATGCTTTGTAAACGGATAGCTCAAATCGAGCGCCATTTTAGTACAATATAAGTGCTTTTATAAACTAAACCAGAAGTTATAAGTATGTACACATAGCTGAAATAAATTCCAATTTAAAAATATCAATCATGTGCAAAAATTAAAATTAAGAAAAAATAATTAGTTTTTTAAACAAATCTATACGCCAGCTTATATTTATAATAATTTACAAAAGAAATAGAAGGAAACTGAAACATTCATGTATTTTTCTTATTAATTTAAAATAAATTGACCTTCATCTGGAAGAACTAAACACAGCAATAAAATATTTAAAATTAGATAATTTAATAAAATAAAAAGTAACTACATTATTCCCGAAATCTTTTTTTTATTAAAATCTGCATCTGAATAGCAACCGCATTAAATTAAATATATAATAAAAAATTCTTGATTTCCTGTACTTACTATCTAATAATATGCGAGTACATTTTTACCATAACTAAAAATATTAAATAAAGTCATAAAATTAGATTGAAAATTAAAATTTATCTATTTAATTTGGATACAATTAATTCTTATGGCATTTTCAGAGATTATAATTAAACACGTATTTTATGCAAAAAAAATTAACTTATTTAAGAAATCAAGTAAAAATATTCATTGTTGCAAAAAATGTACAAAGTATACGTTATATACTAAGAAAGGCATGTACAACTGAAGACGAACGTAGAAAATTTTTAGATATTTTGATTAAATCAATATGCGCAAGTATTCTTCATTGCCGAATAATCACGAAAAGAAAAAAAATAATTAAATATAAAAATAGTAGTTATTATTAGGTAAATTTTCAACGGATGTTATAACGTGTATAAAATGGTAATCTTTACCGTTCTTGAATAGCTTTATTTTACATTACAATAGATTCTGGCAACACAGAAGCGTTTGTATGTTTTCTTCTTTTTATGTTCAAAAAAATTTTCTGTGGTTCTTTAGATGTGGTTTTTATATTTTCTATACTTTTAATAATTTTACGAAATTTTCAAATCTAATTTCAGTTTAGCCAAGTTTTGTTCAAAAGACAAAAAAAAAACTGAAAAAAACAAAAACAACTGATCTGAATTGTGGAATAACGATGGTCATATAATGATCGTGATGTTGATTATGATGATTACTGCGCTTCTGAAAACTTTTAAAGAAAATTCATTACAATATTCTTTTATTATTCAAATTCAACCATATTATGCTCCTCTATTGTAAAAATTTGTTTGATGTTAATTACCAACAGTTTACAGACTTTTATTTTCTGTGTACAATAAACCCTTATGTTAAACAAGTACATTGTTTTTTTTTTGTTATTATTTTTAAGTTTACTATAATAATTTTGATTAAGAATTGACCTCAAAACTCAGTCAGAAATGTAATTGCGGAAAATTGCTGCTTCTTTAAAATAAAAATAATAAAAATATAAAACCAGCTAAATATATGTAGGTAACCAGCTATGTTATAGATATAAGAAGATAAAACTTAATTTTAAAGTAATTTTAAAATGAAATAAGTTTATTACCATGATTTATTTACTGTTAACCATATGTAATTATGTAATTACTAATTATACGTACATGTATTTATTTTTTTTAATAATAACAATAATGTAAAGGTATGTATATGAAACTGTGAATTATTGAGATTTTATACTTGAGAATTGAAAAATTAATGGAAATTTTTTTGTTTATTTATTATTATTGTTGCAGGTTTTGTATAAAATTTTATATTTATCTAGTAGTTTTATAATTTACCATTGTATTGTATACATGGTAACTCAACATTATAAAATGTAACTTGAAATAATTTAAATTAATTAGTTTGCGGAATTTCTTATGTGTTTTTTTGTTTTTGTAAACTTTTTAATTTTTATAGTTTAGTTAATTATTATTAATAACTCACCTTACAACCTTCACATGTAAATGCACCAAAATGAAAACCAGCAGCTGGTTCACCACAAACTTTACACGTTTGATTCATCTGAAAAGGAAAAACAAAAAAAATTTTAATGGAAAAATTAAATAATAAGAATCAAATTGAAAGTGAAACGAAGAAAAATTTAAGTTCAAAACTTAAAACCTTTATAAAATAATTTTCAATATTATATTCATTTTCTTGAGCAAGTAAGTTAACTAACAAAACAATGAGATTATAGAGAATCTGCTAACTCAAAACTCGTTGCGCTTTCATAAAATTCTAAAAATAAATTCGTTTTCTTTATGAAATCGTGTCGTGTTTTGAATTAAAATAACATAACATTGAAAAATTGGACTCGTGATATTGATCTAACATTGATATTGGACAGAATATGAACTATAATATTTTTATGAATAAATTTTTAACTTTAGTAGGGTTATGTTGCATATTGCTAGGAGAAAATATTTTTAAACAAAAAATTTAATGACGTCAGTAGATATTTTTTTAAATATAATAATTAAAGTATGTATATGACAAAAATAAGTAATTTAAATAATAACTTAGCTAGATTTTACAGAAATAATATTTTAATATACCAAACACCCATGATCCCCAAATTAATATCTTACACCTTTCCACAGAGGCTAGTGTTAAACCCAAATAAACAAGTATCAGTATTGGTCTGCAAAACATAAAATTTAATATGGAAAATTATTAACATCAATGATTTCAAATAACAATTAATTAGTTTAGTGATTTGCAATTAGTTTGTGATTTGCGAAAATTTGAATTTTTAAATTTAAATTTTTATTCAATTTTTAAAGAATTTTCAGAGTTAAAATTAAAATTTCTTATTGAAAAAGGAGTGTTATTTTTTGATTTACAAAAAATTGGAATTACGATTTTTCAACAAAAAAATAAACTCATTTAGGTAGTAAATTTTTTTTTTAAATTCCCTTTTTTGTTACTGTAAGTTAACCATTCCAGAAAAGTAGTAAACAACTTACTTCAATATGATATAAACTTAAGAATATGATATAGGCTTAAATGCTTCATATTCAATTTTAAAAAATTTCAACTTAATAAATTCTTTCCTTTCGTCGCAACAATTTTTTTTTTTTTCTAAAAAACCATAAAATTGACTTTTATTATTCTAAAAATGAAAGAAATTGATGTTGAAATATAATAAATTCAATTAACAAGAACTTATTTTTAATAGCAATCAAATTTTTATTAAATCTTTCAAATTTTATTTATAAATTTATTTTATATCTGTCGCTAATTATTTTCATTTTAAAATATTATTGTATAAATTTTATTCTAATTTTAATTTAAAACTCTGAAACTAGTTTGTATTTTTATAATATTAAAAATCTATATTAAATTTGTTATATAAAAAGAATTAAATAAATATTATATTATTATTAATAATTCATAAATAATTTACTATGGAAATTTATAACTTATTACCAATTAATTATAATATGTGTTAACACATTATTATTTTATTATATATGTGAATAATGTAAGAGTTGCATGTGTGTGTGTATAACATGTGCTATAAAATGTTATCATATAAATTTTATTCAAAGATTATTTTATTGGATCCCAGATTCATTCCGCTTGCTTTATACTCTTTAATTTTCTAATTCTCATATAATAATAAACATTTTCTCTTTAATAATATTTTATATACGATTTTACCAATACAAAGTTGTATTTTATAATTTTAATTTTAATATTTTCTTTAAGTTAATAAATTTTTAAGTACATAAATTGGTTTCTTTTTTTTTTTCTTCTTCAACACACAAACAATTATTTATAATCTTTTCAGTATTTGTTACTTGATGTTTAGGTGAAAAATAAAAAAAATACCAAAGTGGTAAAGTCGTCGTCGCATATTTTTCAAACAAGATTTTTCCACTTTTTCGATGAGTTTTTTTTGTTCAGCTTTATTTTCTCTCTAATTTTTTTTATAACTTTTTTTTTACTTTGATATGCTAAAATTGGCATAGAAATATGAAATTTTCCCATCATTTTCTATATAGTTAGTTCCATTTTCATTACAAATACATAATATACAATATATATATATACATATGTATGGTATATTTCAAAATTATACTTATGATTCATACACATAATTGAAAAGTAATAATATGTGCAAATGTGTATATGGTTAGAAGATATGAGATGAGTACATTTTATTAAGATGCTTATAATAGAAATATTTATAAGATATTGAAAACTACATAATGTTAATATGTATGTTTGCATACTAACTATATTGTACCATTTTAACATATTTATATACATATAAATGTTGGTAAGTGTGTTCACATTTTATTAATAATAATATTCTTTTATATCCTAATATTTTTCTATACACATACATACTAGATTTTATTATTATTATAGATTTTGTAGTTGTTCTCATCTTTTTATAGTTTTGTTTGAGTTTTCTTATTTTTCTTATTTTTTTTTTGTATCATAATATTTTATAAAGAAAGTTCATTTAAAGCAATTCGTTACACCATATAAAAGATGAATTATATATTTTTCACATAAATTTTAATACTTTAAAGTCGAAAAAAGAAAAAAAATATTTAAAACAAAAATATAAAATGAAAAATATTAAAATTTTAAAAATGAAAAGAAAAAAAAAACACTGAAACACTATAAACAAAAACAAAATGCATTAAACAAGATGATACTTCAGCAAAAATAGAAAAAAAATCAAAAGTTTAAATGGAATGAGCAAAAAAAAGGAGCTGTAGCTATGCAAGCTGGCTAGCACCTCTACTTGAAACACAAAAAAAATAAATAATGAAAAAACTAACGATCTTAAAGAGTCAAGTTGCATGTTCTTTTTATTGTTGTTGTTTTATGCCTTTTTTCCCCCTGTTCTTCTTGTTTTACTATTTTTTTTTTTGGTTAATTTTTTATTTTTATTTATTTTTCATTGATGATCATAACAGCTATGCACACTCATCCAAAGAAATACAATAAAAATGGCACATACACACATTACATATTTAGATATGTAGGTACATAGATAAAATTTACAGGAAAAAAAAAAGGAAAATAACTTGAAGCTTCGGCTAGGCTCTTATATATGTAGAAATATATTGCATATACATATTTACTTTAATATACACAATATTTAATAGTACATCGATGAAAAAAAAATTTCCAATTTTCAACTTAAAACCAATCTGTAATGTATTTAGTTAAATTCGCGGTCGCTTATTTTAAATGGTACTTAAAACAAAAAATTAAATGATTAATAACAGTAGAATCTAGTTTTTAATTAAATATTTTTCAACTGTAGTGACGTAATTCATTTTAAGATATCCATTTTGGTTAATTTTAATTTACAGAAATGTGTTTAAAAGAACTGTGATGCCAGCCAAAAAATTCGATTTTAAAAACTGTTTTTAATCTTAATTGATCTTAATTTATCGTCTTTCTTCATTTAAAATTTTTTGATACACACCTTTTTAACAATACAACTTATGATCGTACTGTATTATATTTATTCAATTATTATTTGAAGTGGATATATGAAAGCCATTACTATTCTTATGGAATCAAAATTAATGAATTCAATTCGGTAATATGTTCCATAATATTCGATAATATATTCCAAAAACACAATAGCTTTGTTATATTCTTATGAAAAACATCGTTAAATTAAGTACTGTAATTAAATCTAAAAGTTCACATCCTATATTATTAACTTAAAAATAAATTAATTTGAGAAAAAATTATAGTTTTTCATGTGATTTATTACACAACTATGTGCTATTATTTGTGGGATGTGCATCGCCACCATTTTATTCTTGTTGAAATAATTATTACGTGTATAATGTTCTGCTCGATATTAAATAATATAAAATTATAATTTATTATAATATGATGAATAAGAATTTGTGATGAATATTTATATTCGAAATTTAAAATTTGCATTTATGATGTGATTTTGGAAGGTTTTAAGTACTCAGAAAGCCTGTCTTATAACAATATGTACGTAGGTTTTATCCGATTAGTAATAAAATAATTTCAGTGCAGTTTTAAGACTCTTTTTAACCTTTAATGATTTCAAAACAAAGTTATTGTAAGATTCGAAACAAAACTTTGTATAGATTAGATATTGCATAAAATGGCATTATGTTCAAAATTATTGACATTCTACTGTACAGTCAATAAAATATTCAATAATTCGGCATATGGACTATGCATTTAAAATGGATTACCGTATTTCATATTTATGGAAATCCTTTTAAATTTCGTTATTAAGAACAAAAAAACAAAACTCATGAAAAGAAAATCCAAAAAAATAGCACAAAACATTTTAAAAGAAAAAAAATATTATCGCGATTTTAAAGAATAGCGAATGGTTTTTGTTTCTTTTTTATTTTTTTAATGTTAATATAGCATATAAATATAAAAAAATGAATTAATATGCTGCTCTGTCGCTCGGTTTTTATTTTCTCTCTATTTAACATAATATGATGATGATATTATAGCGTATAATGTACAAAATATAATATGCTCAAATATTATAACCAAGTAGGTGAATATTTAATAAATTTATCGTTAATCTGTCATATTTATGTTAACTAAATTTTTTGATCATAAATACATGAGGGTGAATAAAAATGATGATGGTGTTAAATGAACATTAAAATTTTTTCTTTGTTATTTTCCTTTATTTCTTACGAAATAGCCGTTTATAAGACTTTAAGGTGAAAAAGTAGCAAGAAATACAGGAATATAGTTAGAAAGTCGAAGTGAAAAGTTGATTCTTTTCACTTATACTTATAAATTAACATTGATTTGAACAAAAGAAAATTTAATAAGAGAATTATTTTTAATATTATTAAAAATATGAAACTTTTAATAATCTTAAGAAGTAAAATAAAAAAAAACGCATAAAATTAATAATTAATTTTCATTTAAGAAGAAAAACCATAAGTATATTATTAAATTATGGAAAGTTGTTTTATTTTTATAATTTAGTCCGGTGTTATTATTGTTGTTGTTGTTTTAACAATATTATT